CATATCATCAATGTATGCCTCGACGTTTCTCCCAATCTGATCAAAGAACACTGTGTTTATCATTCGTTGGAATGTAGCCGGGGCATTCTTAAGACCAAACGGCATGACCGTATAGCAGTATAATCCCTGATCAGTGACGAAGGCCGTCTTCTCCTGATCTTTCTTCCACAAAGGAATTTGATGAAAACCAGAATAGGCGTCCATAAAACTCATCAAGGCATGGCCGGCTGTTGAGTCGACCAGGTTATCAATTTTGGGCAGAGGGTAACTGTCTTTGGGGCACGCCTTGTTCAAGTCTGTGTAGTCTACACACATTCGCCAGGTGCCATTCGGCTTTTTAACAAGTACCACATTTGCAACCCAATCTGGGAAGTAACATTGCCGAATGAACCCTGCATCAAGTAATTTTTTGACTTCGGCGGCGGCCGCCTGACCTCTTTCTTCACCATGGTTCCGCTTCTTTTGCCGTACCGGCTTCTTTTTCGGATCCACAGCGAGTTTGTGTACTGCCAGATCAGGACTAATGCCTGGCATTTCATGGACTTCAAATGCAAAGATGTCCTTGTATTCTTTCAACAGGTTGTGAAAGTCATCACCAAGGTTTCTCAGAGCAGTCGTCCCAACTTTGACTGTTCGGTCAGGGCGGGAGTCGTCTAATATCAGGTCCGTATGCTCACCAGCCGGCTGAGGGCGGAACTCATCCGGCCGGTCCTCTGCCAATGATTGCTATTTTCTTGCCTTTCTGGCGGACTCTGTCTGGGACGCCTTTCTTTTTCTGTCGCCTGTTTCTTGAACAGGCGCACTTTCCTTGACATTGTCAAGGTCTGTTTTTTCTCCACTTGACCCAGTGGCCTTAGCAGTGGGTTTGACATCCGAGAGATAGCACTCTCGGGCCATCCTCTGATCTCCCCTTAGGGAGCCGACTGTTCCATTGTCCCTTTCAAACTTAAGCAGCATAAGTGACGGGATTATAACAGCCTTGGCACTATTCAGGGTTGGGCGACCCAGAATCATGTTGTAGGCAGAGAGTTCCTCTACAACTAGGAATCGGACTACCATGTGTCGTCCTTCCCCTTTTTCGCCCAGGCGGACTGGTAGATCAACTCGTCCCAGTGGGTGGACGACTCCTCCTCCAAACCCTATTAAAGGGTGGGAGGCCGGATGTATGCAGTCCGTCTGATATTTCAGTTTTGACAGACATTTGCTGCTGATGAGATCTGAAGAGCTCCCAGTATCTATGAGGATTCGACCAACTCTCTGGTTGGCCACTTTACATTCAATAACGAGAGGGTCGTCATGCGGCCCCCTTATTCCTCCTAGATCCTCTTCAGTGATGACAATCTCAGGAAATGTATATTTGGACGGTCGTTCTTGGTGAACGGAATTTACATCTAACCGCCTTATATTATCTTTGTTGCCCCTAATAGTGGGGCCGCCTCCTGAGAAGCCGCCTGCAATGGTGTAGACGACTGCATCATCAGTATCGGAACTGTCGGCCTGTTGATTCTTTTTGGCCGACTGCTTTTTTGAGGAAGTATTCCCCGTAGATTTCTTGACATAAGTGTCAAGATCACCTTGATCAGCCAAGCGGTCTAGGTACCGCATGAGACTAATGCAGTCGTTGGTGTGATGACCAATGTCATCATGATAAGCACAGATTTTGTCTTGGTTCCGGTTGCTCGCAGAACCCTTCATGGGGAGCGGTTTCTCAATTGAGAGCCGTCCCTTTATTTCTTTTAGGATAAACTGGTTATCCTTGTTAAACACATACTTTGGGGAGTATGGTTTGAATTCCTTTTTCTTCTTGGCCGGCTGTTTAGAGGAATCAGCCGCCCAGACCCCTTTTCTTTTTTCATCTTTGTTGGACGACTGTTTCTGTCGTCCTTCTCTATTGTCGAACCTCCTCCCGTCCGACTGTTTCATTGTACACAGATCAGTCGCCTGTATATAGGCTTCTGCTTCAATCAAGGCCTCTTGAAGAGTCGCCACCCTTTTTCGAACTAAATCAAATTTGAAGGTAGACCCGTCTTTGAGACCTCTAAAAAAGTCAGTATAAGCTACCTCATCCGGTAACCCTTGAATCTGTATTCTCATCAGGTTGAACCGCCTGATGTAGGAACGAAGCCCCTCCTTTTCACCCTGCTGAATTGTTCCCAAATCAAGGGTCGTTTTCTTCGCAGGGATGTTCATTGCAAAGTTGGAGGCAAATAAGTAAGCAAGCGTCCTGAAACTGTTTACACAACCAGTCGGCAGGTTGCCGAACCATTGCTGTGCAATTCCCTTGAGAGTTGCTGGGAAACACTTGCACCAAGTGGGATCATCCAACCCTTGAAGGTACATCAGGTTGGTGAATGCCATCAGATGGTCTTCCGGGTTAGTAGTGCCATCATAGGCGCCTACTAAAACATTTTTTACTCTGGCCGGCTGAGCGGCTTCAGTAATTTCCTTGGAGAAGGCCGACGGCTGTTCACCAAGTCTAAGCAGCCGTAGCTGCCAGTCCATAGGTTGGACGTTTTTTGCTGCAGGTCCACCAAATGGAGGTGGCTGCATAAAATATTGTTGTTGCGGCACAAATGGCAAATTTGGTACCGCCTGCGCACTATGAAAGCCAGACTGTCGGGAGGTGCCGCCTGACTGACTCTCATGGTACGACTGAGTTGGCCTCATCGAGGCATTTCGCAAACTGTCCTGAAAATTTGAAGTAGAAGCCGACTCTGATAATCGGTCACTCCTCTTCTGCTCTAGCAGGTGCCGAGCATCTGTGAACGTTTGCTTTGACCCGTCCGCCTGAATATGACGAACCGGTTTCCTATTTCCCGTAGGATAACGGAGTTTTGTGAAATCAAGAGCAGACGGCTCCCGCTTCTTAGATTTAGGATGGGGAGTCGCCTCTCGCCCTTGAACTGGCTTCCTCTTGAGTGAAGTGGAAGGTTTTTTGGCCGCCTGCTCTTTGACTGAAGCAGGCGGTTTTTTGTTGATCAACTCTTGGATCTCTCCCTTGAATCCCCTCATGAAGGTCATGAGTTCGTTTCTTGTGATCGGAGCAGACCCATCAGTCGGCTGTTGCCGAGCAAGCGGTGCGCCTGCTGGCTCACTTCCTGTTTGAAGATACTCCCGTTCCCTTATTTCAGTATGACGGGTACGGCGGGCCCTTAGGGTCCCGTCTGGAGCTGTATGAGTTTCAACTTCAAATTCACTTTCGGTATCATGGTCCGACTGAACTTGAGGGTCGTCTAGGGGACGCCTCTCTTCTGGGGTCGGTACAGACTTGGATGCCATCTCTGAAGTACTCTCCCCACAGACGGCGCCAAATGTTTCGGGGTTTTCTGATGTCCTGCGGGAGAGTTACAATTCCGAGACTGGAACCGGACGCCTGTACCTGCAAAATAACGGAGACTCCTGAGAGCTCCGCCTCCAACGGTCAAGTTAGTACCTGATTAAGGAGTAATTAATACAGAAATTAAAGTAATAAGGTCTCTCTAGGTGAGAGTATTTAATGTAGGTAATCTGCTTTGCTAGCGAGATCAGCCGGTTATTAGTGTGTTCTGTAAATTATTCGGTCCCCTGATTAATGAGGATTAATCGAGTATTTATAGCCTTGGGAAGCGTGCAACTCTCTAGGTTTAAGGTAAACCTAGGGCCGAACGGGCTTCTAGACTGAAATGGGCCTTGATGGCCGGTTGTCCCATTTGGCATGGGTGGACACGTGGCGTGTCTTAAGTGGTCCGTGGAGGACGCGTGGCGGAACCTGGTTGGTCCACTTGTCAAACGGCGCTTGGTGGATAAAAATCCCCTAATCATTTACCATATATATATATTTACCAAATCAGAAAACCATAGACTAACATTATACGAGTACATACTATATAATTAGGTCATCGGATACTGTATTTTCTAAAAAAAAATAAACGCAATATGTTATTAAGGAAAATCTATTAAACAAAATAATTTTAAATAATTACAATTGATTCACTTATACAAATAATGTATATTACAATAATAAGACTTAGCAATTGGTTATTGGTGCAGTGGTGATTGAGACTGTATTTGGTAGGGAGGACCTGTGTTCGATCCCCGCAACAACAATCGGGAAGGAACTGGAACCTAACCACCCTGAACTGATCCCTGAATCCGGATTAGCCCAAAGGGTGAATCGGGTGGAACACCAAAAACAAAATAAAAATAATAATAAGATCTACAAAAGTGTATATTAAATTAAAAATCTCAATTTATAATCTATATTATTTTCTTCTCATTTTGGTAATCATATTCAATCTGTATAGTTAACTAGAATTTTTGTACATATCTTCAATAATATACTAGGTAAATTTTTATGTATACTATTTTATAATTAGAATTTACCTAAGTTATATTATCATTCTTTTTTCTCAAACTTTATTTTTTGGCTATAGAATTCATTTCATTAAAAAAATTATTTTGATAACATATATGAAGTATGTATAAAAAAAACACGAAGGGTAATAACTTTGATGTCTATGGTATTGGATATAGATTTAATTTAAGTTATTTGCATTGCTAAAAAATAATTTTTTTTGTTAATACATTATATAAAAAATAATAATTCAATATAAAATTTAAGATAACCATACATGGCACGGGATTTTAGCTAGTACATTTTTAAAACTTGTGCCAAAATCAAAATGAAAAGCTCATGGTTACGTCTGTACGTGCCACATAGAAGGAGCCATTAAATTTCAAAGTCTGTATTAAATCAAAAGGAAAGTCTGATTAACAGTATATGCTTTCATGTAACACCAATAAACAAGAAGAGTTAACAATAAGTTTCCGTTGTCCTGCATAGTGTAGCATTTTACAAACATAAAACTCCCAACCTAAAACAAGAACATAAGCATTAGCTTAGCTGCTAACGCGAGATGACTATTGCAGATCACTAGCAACGTTTCAACAATCAGTAATATTGTTTCAGAAACATATCAAGTAAACAAAGTTTAAAACAGAAGTCTAACAAATACTTCAGAAGAAATTGCCACATCTAAGGAAGCTGATGCATTCTTAATACCATATCATACATACACCAAGTACTTTTATAGGTTAAGTCTGTCAGTTACATTTACAATAAGTCGATGACGGTTAGTATATCAAAACACAGCCAAAGATTAGGCAAATCACAGTCTACTTTCTTAGCCAGACCACTAAAAGCCTTCTAATAGTCTAAGACACTACAGAAAGAGGAGTGATTTTCTCGACGACTCTGAATATGTCAACATCCATCACAGCACTGGCCTTGTCTTTCTGACTAACCAAATTAAAGACTAACACATCGGACTCTTCCAAGGAATTGTCAAGGGCAAATTTCTTCCATCCAGTAGAGATACTTGCATCTTTCTTGCCGTGAGTAATTAGAGAAGTATGCCATATTTTCTTGCCCACACGAAGAATAACTTCTTGGTTTCGGCAGGGGAGATGCTGTTGCATCCACTTTGCAGGAATGTCCTTCAAAAGAACAGTCAAAAGTTCAAAACTCATTTCCGAAATATACTGGAAAGTAGAAACACCGAAACAAGAAAAGAAGTGTTTCCGAATATAATTACCAAGAAAAATCTTTTGTAAACACTAGTAGGCTGCATTACTGCAATGAAGCTATCTTCACTTTGTTTCGGATTAGCCCTTAGCAAAGCATCCTCTTTCTCCACTTCAGTCACTGGCCTTCTGTTTGACATGTACTCCTTCACCACAGACTTTCTTTCTTCCGAAACTATTTTGAGCAAAAATTAAAAAATAAGTATAATCCTGAAATTACTGATATTTACTGAAATCAAAACCCAGTTCCAGAATATTAAATAAATCCTGTAACGGATCCGCCCTTTTCATTTTGGTTAAAGGAGAAAATTATATTAAGCATGTGCTAAAGGCGCACTTGGAGTATCAAAAGATACAGTCATTAGGATAGAATATTAGAGTTATTACAGTCAACACAAACTTGTTTGAAATAGCAGCTAGGATTAGGAGACTAGATTTATTACAACATTATTGATAAATGGGTTAGTCCCTAAGGAGAAAGCAACATAAGAAATTGGAAGTTCCTTTCTAGCTAGCTTAGCTAGATGATCCGCTGCATCCACCATGGGATGGCTGACACACTGTTGAGTGCTTCCAATCCTAGCCTCTTGTGCCCTGGCCTGAAAAGAATATACACGTTGAACTATTGATCAGCAATTTTTAAGTTCCTTGTTACTCCTAGGACAGTAGCCATAGAATCTGATAAGAATGCGAAGTCCTGCCCGTCATTGGGATGAGAATGGCTATAAGCTCACCCAGACTACGGAAACGAGGTGGCTTAGCCTTATGACCAGGACTCTGATCCATTGGAGATGTTGAAAGAGGGTAAAGATGGAAAAAGAAGCATCGGTGAAGATGAGAAAAGTTGGATGATTTGAGGAGGGGTGAGAGCAGAGAAGTCCCAGGTTTTACTTACACATTAGTTTTAAAATAAAATAAAATTTGGAAACCCATAAATTCTTTCCACACTTAACAATCAAATGAACCCATTTAATATCATTTTGTTCACAAAATATATTATGATCACCACTTCACCAGTATCATATATCAAGATCGACTTTGCATCAGTAAGAAGACACAGTACTTTCACCCCTAATGTAATAAATGAAAAGACAAAAATAATTCCTAGAGCAACCCCATCAACTAGGCAACCAAACTACAAGAATAGAGGATTACCACTTTTGAATACCAGCTTTTTAGATGAACTAGGAGGCTCTTGCTTTTTCAGTCTGTGCCTTTTTCCACAAGATTTACGAGAACGATTCTCCTCTGAGGAAGTTTCTTTGTAATTAGGTCTAATCACCTCCCGCCCAGAAATCGGACTCCGTTCCTTAACAATTTCTCTTCTTCTACTTGATTCCTTTTCTGCCAGATCATACATACAACCAATAGTAAGCTAATAAATTTCAGAATACTTGCATAAAACATCTTGGTGTTTCAAGAAGAAATTAGCATACCTGCTTCACCGTTGTATCCGTTAGAAGAACCTTTAACTGGGAAATTTTTGCCATTTTCCGGGGTGATCAGATCCTTCACTAGTATCTGAGTTGGTTCCTTAGGAGTTCCATTACTACTAGGCCTCTTTTCTGCCAAATTATGTAGACAAAGACATCACCTTTATCATATATTCATAATCAGCTCCTAAAAGACAATCTGCATAACTAAACTGACCAGATTGGGGCTTCGGTTTAGGAGCACGGTCCACAACCAACTCCCTTTCTTCATTTTCAGTGGTTATGTCCATCTCAGAATTCAGCATCGGTTCATTTTCAACATGATTTGCACTTGGCTGCTCTTCTGCTACAGTATGCATAACTGTCAGAAATTCTTACAAATTCCAGAATTCACACAAAGCACTTTTGCCAGTTCAAAAGTAAGGTACCAGGTTGGCCCTTCAATTTCTCAGAACGTTCTGCAGTTGGAGAATTTTCACCATTTTCCGGGCTGATCAATTCCCTCCTTGAAATCTGACTTTGTTCCTTAGCAGCATCATTTTTGTTCAAGCTCTTTTCTGCCAAATTAAGTACACAGTATCAACATATGTATGCAATTTTTTAAAAATTCAACTTCTCAAATCACAAAAACACTATAAATAACAATGCTTACTAGAATGGGACTCTAGCTTGTCAGAATCAACTTTCTCAGGGGAACTTTCTCTATTTTCAGCTGTGATCACATCTCTCTGCGATATTTCACTCAGTTCCTTGTCTGTTTCATTTCTGAAAGACTTTTTTTCTACGAAATCATATAAAAGAAGTAAATGAACAAGCTCCCGCATTTACAGAATGTTTTCATTTCAAGATTACAAAGTATTAAGAAAAAGTTTTTAGAAATTTAGGATGCTTACCAGATTGAACTTTTCGTTTGATTGGCAATCGGCATGGCAGTATCCTTCTTGTTCCTCCTCTAGCTTTTGCGGCTGCATTCAGCGCACCTTTTCTTGAAGCTTGAGTGTTCACCTTTCCTCCGGAGGAAATCAATGCTTCATCATCTTTCTTGGACTTCTTTGATACAAAAAAAGCAGAATCTTCTTCACCACCATCCTCAATAATTTCAGTGTTGGATGCCTCTCTTGCAGTCCTCTTTTTTTTATCTTCATGCTCAGACTTAGTATGCTTACATTTCTTAACAAAGTAGGTTGACTCCTTCTCACAAGAACTCCCTTGATCAAAGATTAACACCTCAAAACTCGAGTTTCTCTTAAATTTGAACATCAAGACACAGTTTACATTCAATTCATTGACTTTCACAAAGTCTTTCCATCCATTTCCAACAAACAGAAGATCATCGGATTTAAGCAGCTCTATGTCCCACACACCCCACTCGGGCTTTTAAGAAATACTTTATCTGGCAACTGAGATCTCATGTGTGCAGTGAATTTCTCAGGCAGTACCTGATTGTTCGTGCTCAAATTAAGATTGATATGTAATAAAAAGAAAACACTTAAAGAGGCTCAAGACTTCAAGATTTTTCAAAGGTAAACGAGTAAATGTACCACACACACATCATACAATAACAATGAAACTAGGCTAAAAGGCATTACAAAGTACTATACATATGTTTTTCAGTTAAGCACATATAAACCCCAAAAAACATAGCACAGGGCACAACCATCATACCCACATCACAGTAATAAATCTAACAATCATAAATAGGCTAAGAGTATTACAAACTACATATTTTTCAACTAGGTAACTAATATTAAGTACATATATTCCTCAAGGTAACATAGCACAACCATCATACCTATCTCATTAATAATCTCTATCCGAGTAATTCACAACCACGAGAATTGATCTGATCATCAAATCTCAAAACTTTCTCATGAGAGTAAGCTGCATCAAGCAATGTCATACATGGCCATCTTTACATTTGAAATAACCCATTAATTCTACCCACATCTATGTTTATCTCTATTACTCTAACTGGCAATTCTTTACAGTAGTATGATTAGTTATAAGCAGTTCCAACACATTACAAACTAACTCCTAAAATAATGTGCCTTAATTCATAAAATCAGAAGTAAAAAAAGCTACTATTACCAAACACAACAACAAAAAAAAAAAACTTGTTTATGCCAGAAAAACAGATCAATTTTTTTTTTAAGAGATCTTGTAAGAGGAAAAAAGAAAAAAAAAAATATAAAAAAATTCATTAAAGATGATTAAAATTGCATTATCCTACATTTAACAATTCTTTAACCTCAAGAAAGTGGGATAATTCACCACACTTGTATTAAAGTCGCCATAACAAACATTATTTCAGGTTCTAGAAACAAGAAAAAAAAAAAAAATATCTCCGTCCTGGTACCACTAGATCAAAATATCAAATTACGCTATCAACGTGACTACTAATTTTGACGGAGTTGGTGCATTTCCACTGTTCAGAGTATAGCGGAGAAAAATAACACTATCAACGGACTATTAATTTGTACTGAGTACTAACATAAACAATTACATAAACCTAAACCCACTTGGTTAAATTTTTCTAAAAGTAAGAAAAAATTAAGAAAACTTACAAGATGATCATGGAAGTTTGGGGTTAAGGTCTGGAAGAAATGCATGGAGTTGAAATGTTTCCAGTACATTTCTTCTTCCCATGTCTTGCAATGTTTACACTCTAAATGTTCCACCATTTTCCTTCCCAAAGATCAAAACTTTAGTAGTGCAGAAAATCTTCTTCAATTCAACTCCTAAACACAAATTAAACAAGAAATTAGAAAATTCTCCACCATTGTAACCTCAAAGATCAAAACTTTCTGAAGAACAGATAATCTGCTACAATTCCCAAACATCAATCAAACAAAAGATAAAAAAAAAATGATAAAATTTCCACCATTTTTCCCCCAAAGATTAAAACTTTTTTGTACGTACAAAAAAATCTGCTTCAAGTCCTATTCATAATTCAAACAAGAATTTAGAAAATGTTCATTTTTTTCCGAAGATCAAAACTTTTGTAGTACAAAGAATCTGCTGCAAGTCCCTAACATAATTCAGAGAAGAGATTAACAAATTAATTAAGATAAAACAGATAAATTAACCCAAATGCAAGGAAGAGAATACCCACTTAAAAAAAAGGTGAAGAAAAATGAGAGTGAAATTGAGGAAAATGTATGAATTTTTGGGAGAATGAGCAATTTGGCAATTACCAAATGCTACCATGAATAAATGAGAAGTGTACAGAGGTGTCAGTTTATGAGAGAGGTGAGAGTTCCTTACCGAGGTAACCAATAGGATCCTCTTCTTAATGCAGTGTACTTTTATTAATAAAATTTGAGTAATCTCATCAAAAATGTGACTGCAATATGTAATATTGTACAAGTAATAACTCTTGTACTGTACATTTTTCTATTTATTTTGCATGAAATGATGTGACCGGTTGGGTCTTAGACCTCTCCATGACTTCTAGTTCTAGACTTCTAGTCCACTATAAATACAGATTATATGTCCATTGATAAATTTTTTTACTCACTTAATTTTTTATTACTTTTCCGTCAACTTATTGTTTACAATTATAAAGCACGGACACGACATTCAACTTCTATATATGTATTGAACAGTGTTTGTAATAGAAACACCTAAATACGTATTAGATACATTAAAAAAAATGTGTTTGTTATATGGACACTTATCACTTTGACATAAAATATGTCCTACTCCTACCTTGAGTAGTATATTGAGCACATCATGTCTTATTTGGGCTATTTCTTTGTTCTTTTGAGTTTGATCATTAGTTTAATATCATAAATGATTTGATAATTATTTTTATAAGATAAAATAATAGTACAATTACGAAGCCCTTCTCTCAAGTACGAATGCTAGTATTAATATTTGAACTTATAATCTTGCACTTATTAATGTAAAGCTTTAATTACAATTCTAGTCTAGTCTAGTAATAAAACTTGAAACTTGGTGCCTTGGTGGAACAAGAAGATAGTTAAGGGGTTGATTCCTAATTTTCGGTCACTTGATGAGGAAGTATAAACAAAGGGTCAATCGATTGATTGATGAAATGCAATGTACTGTCCAATTTAATTCTTCTATGTGTGTTATACAGAACCAGTTGAGGGAGCTAATTGGAACGAGTGTTAGGCATGTTGGACTATACTACTTTGACGGCTTTGCTTCAGTACAACATGTTTCGGCACAGGGTTCTTCTTCTACTTTAGAGTTGTGGCACAAAAGAATGGGTCACCCGTCGGGAAAAGTGGTAAAACTTCTCCCTCTCGTTGATAATTGTACGGGTAATTTAATTAAAGTATGTGAGGTTTGTTTTTGTGCTAAACACCCTACAGATAAATTCACTTTAAGTGAGAATAATGCATCTCAGATATTTGAGAAAATACACTGTGATTTGTGGGGATCTTATAGACATCCTTCTTCTTGTGGGGCTCAATATTTTTTTACTATTGTAGATTATTTTTCCCGAGCCCTTTGGGTCTACTTGCTCATTGATAAAACCGAGGTGTTTAGTATGTTTATGTCTTTTGTTGCAATGGTTGATCGACAGTTTTTTCAAACTATTAAAGTGGTTCAAAGTGATACACTAGTCAAACAATTAAAGTGGTTCAAAGTGATACACTAGTAGAAAAAAACAATTGGACTGCCCCAAATGAAAAGCGGTTATTGAATTCCGCTTCCAAAAACCTACAAAAACCCACCCAAAAAAAAAAAAAAAAAAAACATGAAGCATACAAATAGGGAGCAATTATGGGTGAACTGCTCCCATATATTGCAACTGGAAGTGGTTTGAACATTGAACCGCTCCCCATTTGCTAAAAACCCTAACAACTAATTCATTTCTCACGCCTCTTCCCTCATTTCTCACACCTCCTTCTTCTTCTCTCCCCCCTCCTTCTTCTCTCTCCTCTTTCCCCTCATTTCTCACGCTTTCATTCTCACGCTCTCCTCTCTCCATCTCCTTCTCTCTTCTCTCTCCATTCTCACGTCCTCTCTCCATCTCCTTCCCTCTCTGCTCTCTCCTCCCATTTGCTTTCTTCTCTCCTCTCAAAGCCTCCCTTTCTTTCTCTCTCCTCTTATCACCGACCAATACCTCCATCAACATCGTGACCGAGCACCACCGAGAAACAATACCAACGATGCGACACCCACCGAGCAACAATCACCAACAACAACACCAACGATGCGACACCCACCGAGCACCACCACCGTTTTCAGATCTAATAATAATTTAGGTAAGAATTTAGATCTAGTTTTTTTTTTTTTCAAATTTCATCTTCTATATGCATTTCTGAACGGTTAGCTTATGTTTGATTGCTTTGAATCGATTACATTAATGGTTTATTTGCAGTTTCTGAGTTAAAATTTGGTTAGGGTTCGTAAATTTATTGATGGGTTAAGGAATTTGTTTCAATTCTGCTTCAATTTATTTGCATAATGAGTAAATTTTTAGAGCTTTTTTTTTAATTTTTTTTTTATGTTTCAAATGCGGTGTTGGCTTCAGATTGCGGTGGTGGCGTTAGATTCGGTGGTAGCATCAATTCCGGTGGTGGAAAAATAGCAGATGCGTGGTGGTGGGCTAGTGGCTTTAGTAGTATAAATTTTTTTTTTATTGAATTAAATTGTTATATTACAACAACTTATTAATGGAAATATAAATTTTTATACATATGTTTTTTGTTTTTTGTTTCAATTTCTATGAAGAAAGCAAAATTTCTTCTTTTTTTTTTATTTTATTTTTTAAAGGCATAATGGGGAGCGGTTTGAACCGCTTTCCATTTAAAGGGGTAATGGGATGCCCCCCAAGCCCAAGCGGTTCAAATTTGCTTCCCATTAGGGGTTTTGAACCGCTTTTGAATTGTATTTTTCTACTAGTGATAATGGGACTGAATTTAATTATTTACATGTTTTTTTTTTTCTGCTACGGGTACATTGTTTTTCAAACCTCATGTGTAGAGACTCCACAACAAAATGGGAAAGTTGAGAGAAAACATAAACATATTTTAAATGTAGTGAGAGCATTAAGATTTCAGGCTAATTTGCCGATTTATTTTGGGGGGAGAGTGTTATAGTAACTGTTCATTTAATTAATCGTACCCCTTCTCCCTTGCTGCAAAATAAAACGCCATATGAAATTTTATTTGGTGCACCCCTAGTTACAACACCCTTCGCATGTTTGGTTGTTTTTGCTTTGCTCATAATCAAAAGACAAATGGGGACAAGTGTGCAAGTAGAAGAAAATGTGTTTTTGTCGGATATCCATTTGGAAAGAATGGGTGGAATCTATTTGGTCTTGATTCAAAAGAATTTTTTGTCTCCCGTGATGTTAAGTTTTTTGAAGATGTGTTTTCGTTTCTTGATCCAGATTCTTCGAATATTATCCCGCAAAATATTGCTCCCATGAATATTGATGTATATTATCACTTCGCGGAATATCTTGTGGAAAATGATGATCCTCAACATGTTGGTGAGGAAGTTGAGAGTTTCAATGATGTACTTGAGAAGGAAGAGTTGGGCATGGGCGCTGGAATCGACCTCATTGCCCAACTGCAAGATGTTGGTGCATCTCACACCGAAGAGCCTGCTGGGCAACAACAGTCAGGTACCCCGCGACAAATGCCTGGTGGCCACAGGGGGGTGTGGAGCTCACTACCCAGCCACAGGCTACATCTGCAAGCAATACAGCAGATCCCGCAGCAAATGCCGAACTTCAAGCAGCTTCTAATCAACATTCTGATGAGTCTCAAGGCACATAAATGGGTCGTGGCATGCGAGAAAAATACGAGCCAGTCAAGCTTCGAGATTATGTAATTCACACAATTCTCACAAATAGTCCATCTTCATCATGTCCTAACACATCGTCTCCAAAGCATCCCTCAGGTACTCCTTATCCTATAGCACATTATATAAGTTGTCACAATTTTTCTTTGCATTATCGAACCCCGATCTTTTAAGGAGGCCATGAAAGATGCTGGTTGGCGAGAATCCATGAAAAGGGAAATTCAAATATTGGAAGATAATGGTACGTGGACAATGGAAAATCTTCCTCCTAGAAAACGAGCTCTTGGTAGTCAATGGGTGTATCGGATCAAATACAACTCTGATGGGAGTATTGAACGTCTGAAATCCAGATTAGTAATCTTTAGCAATCATCAAAAAGAAGACATTGACTACACTGAAACACTTGCACCCGTGGCTAAAATGGTTACTGGTTGGGCTTTTCTTGCAATTGTAGCTTCTAAAAATTGGGAGTTACATCATATGGATGTTCATAATGCTTTTTTCCATGGAGATCTTGATGAGGAGGTGTACATGAAACTCCTTCTTGGTTTTGAGTCTTCCCATCCTAATAAGGTATGCCATCTTCGCAAATCTCTATATGGCCTCAAACAAGCACCACGATGTTAGTTTTCTAAACTTGTATCGGCTTTGAAAGCATATGGTTTATTGCAATCTTATTCAGATTACTCGTTATTTACATACACTAGTGGCAAAATTCAAACAAATATTCTTTTGTATGTTGATAATCTCATTATTTATGGGAATGATTCCACTACTTTAAGGGTTTTCAAAGCTTATCTCAGTGATTGTTTTCATATGAAAGATCTTGGCCGCTTAAAATATTTTTTGGGCATTGAAGTTGCTCATAGTTCTTCAGGTTTGTTCCTTAACCAAAGGAAGTATACTCTTGATATCATCTCTGAAGTTGGTTTGTTGGGTTCTAAACCTGTTGGCTTCCTAATTGAACAAAACCACAAGCTTGGCTTAGCTAGTGATGAAGTACTTTCTGATCCTGAAACCTATCGAAGACTTGTGGGCAGGTTGATTTATCGGGCAGTCACACGACCAGATTTGGCATACTTGTTCATGTCTTATCTCAGTTTATGCAAGAACCAAGAACCGAGCACTGGGAAGTAGCCTTAACGGTTATGCGATATTTGAAAAGTACTCTTGGTCAAGGAATTTTGTTACGATTTGATAGTGATTTAACCCTGCAGGGTTGGTGTGATTCTGATTGGGCCGCGTGTCCTATAACTCGTAGATCTTTGACAGGATGGTTAGTTTTCCTTGGTCATTTCCCTATTTCATGGAAAACCAAGAAACAAAATACATTTTATCGTTCTTTAGCAGAAGTAGAATATCGCTCCATGGCTGCTATAACTTGTGAACTGAAATGGTTGAAAGGTCTCTTACTGAGTTTGGGTGGGCATCATCCAAAGGCAATTAAACTCTTCTGTGATAGTTATTCGGCTCTTCATATTGCAAAGAATCCAGTTTTCCATGAACGAACGAAACACATAGAAGTTGATTGTCATTTCATTCGTTATGCTATAAAGGATGGTTTGATTGATCCCTCTTATGTCCCTACGCATGCACAACTAGTCGACGTGTTCACTAAGGCTCTCGGCAAAAATCAGTTTGATAATTTAATTCACAAGTTGGGCATCTTCACTCCATATGCTCCAACTTGAGGGGGGATAGTGTTAGGATAATTAGAGATATTTTTGAGGAGATATTGTTTCCTTAATTTTAGGATTGATTAGGTATTGATATTATTGTGTGCATCATTTGATTTGATCTTATCTTTTGAGAATATCTTAATGTTCTTTTTGTTCCGGAATTGAGTTGTAATCTAATGTAAAGCTTTAATTACAATTCTCGGCGCAACAGCAATCTGGTCCTATAGACAGCTGATTGTGTCTCCCCAAAAACCTAGTGATGAGTACCTTTCACCTCATTGGTTATCGAGCAAGGTGAAATGTTGAAGAGTCTCGTGAATTTTCCTTTTTCTAAAAATGTTTAAATAATTCATTTCATGTCCTTAAAATCATTCATTTCGTGTCCTATTTATGAATAACGACCAATCCAGTTGATTTTGGTCCACAATTTGGGTCCAATAATTGTGTAGTTGGATGGGGCTTGAAAAATGCTTTTCAACGATATATTATAAGCCCAATTCCGAGTTATAATGAGGAAGTTTTGGCTAAACTGGGCCCAAATGAGCTTTATATGCGGACCCAATGATCATGTGGAGGGTCCATTAATATTAATCGTATTTTTAAAACCATTAGGATTTATCTTAAGCTTCTAGAATTTTTTAGAAGGTTGCTTTAAGTTCTAAAGACATTAGGATTGATTATTATCTTCTAGAAGGTTCTAATTTATCATATTTTGAAAAGATAATTATTAAAAATTCTACATCGGATATATAAGTGTTTTTAAAAAATTTAAATCTGATTTAATAAGGATAAGTACGGATATTCAACTAGTCCAATTTGATTGGAAGTCGGATTCCGTACGAAATCTTATCGTACAGAATTATCGCATCGCGTCGGATCCGTCGTGCAGCAATGGATTTATCGGGACGCGATGGAGTCATCGCATCGCGATAAATCTGTCACGTCGCGATGAATCCTGTTTTATTCCGGATGGAATTCTAACTCGTTTTCTAATCTTTTTGGTCGTTTTTCTCTATAAACAGGGCCAATTTCCTCCGTTTTCATTCACCAACAATCATCATCTCTCAATCTAAGCTAAAGCTTATTCTTTCTTTTTCCCTCTTGATTTTCTAAATCTCTTTCTAAACCCTTTTTACAAACACACACCAAACGTCCTTTGCAAGACCCTAATACATCTAGCCAAGCTCGAAGTTGCTTTCGCCCTCGACGTGAAAGGTTGATATTTCTGAGGGTTTGGTCCCAAATCCTTATTTCAATTATTATTTGATTTTTTAATTTAATCTTTCTTGAAGATACTAATGTGTGTGTTGTTTTAATAGAAAGAGGTACGAGGCATCAAAGTGAGTAGATCTACTATCTTTATTCCTTGCTTTGATATAGAAATCAAGCTTAGAATATTATTTTAATTCCTAGTATCATGTTAGGATGTCTTTATGATGTCTAATATCATGTTAGGGTGTTATTTTAATATTTCTAATATCATGTTGCTTTCTAGTATCATGTTTAGGATAAAGCTTTAATCTTTATTATTTAGTGACATGCTAGGATTTGTTACTAATCTATTTTTTTATCATGCCTAGGATCTTGCTAATATTATTTTGGAGATATTGCTTCATTATGATGATTGTTGTGTCATTAATTATTACATTGCTTGATTATTCTTGATTGTTATTGCTTGCTCACGCCTTTCTTGCAGGTTTAAAGGGAATTTGTACTTGAAATCACGCCTAATAAGATAATTAATAATTTGATTGTAGGCTAATATGATTTTAATTCAAGTGATCGCCAATAATAGATTTATTTGTGCATTAATAATCAACCAACATAGATAAACAGGTTTAGGGCTAACTTGTTTGTATGTTGATCGAAAAGCACACATGAATATGAGAAGAACTAAGTAGAGACCAATTTATGGCGGGTTCAATCTCTTTTAGGTTGGATTCGTACCATCATCCCCAATATCTAGTCATGGTTTCAGACCACTATGGAGTTAGCGATCTCCGTGATCGTGAATGGGGTGTAACCTTCACACCCGTGAACGGTTTACAAGTTCCTAAATCTTGTTGGTGACTTTTTTGCTCTAGCTTCTTTCCCTTTGGACGCCACCATGCTTAAGTGCATGATCATAGTGGGGCCCAAAGTTGATGTTTAAAATATTCCCCACAGGTCCGCAAAGGTGGATGTTCCCTCATCCTTGGGCATACTAGAATCAGGCACCTTGGGCCACTCCACCTTGTCCGTATCCTTCGCATGGGTTAGGCCCAATACAGTGGGGTGGCTGGCCTCAACAACCCTCACAACAGCAGCCCGGTCTTTTAGGGCCTCGATCACAGCAAGCCTACTATATGGATGGCCCTCCTTCCTCTTCTTCGGGTTACATGCCAACCAACATCAAGCAGGCTATGCACACCATGTCTTTGGCCGACCCAAACTACTACATGGATATCGGTGCTACATCACACATGACGAATTCCCAAGGTAAATTGTCGTCATACTTTCATTTGAGCAAAAATAATAGTAATGCAATTATTGTTGGTGATGGTAGCACAGTTCCGATTAAAGGTTATGGTCACACTTCCTTAAACCAAAACACACTTCAACTAAAAAATGTCCTTCATGTCCCAAAATTTGTCAAAAATCTTATTTCTGTTAGAAAATTCACAATTGATAACAATGTTTCTATTGAGTTTGATGCTTTTGGGTTTTCTGTGAAGGATTTGCGGACGGGGAGCAAAATAGTGAGATGTAATAGCAGTGGCGATCTCTATCCTTTCTTCACGGATCGTCAAGTCATTTCCACTTCCATTCCGTCAGCTTTTGCAGTTGTTTCTCCTAGTGTGTAGCAATCCCGTTTAGGTCATCCGGGAAATGCAATTCTTAGTTCCTTGCGTAGTAGTAATCTTATAAATTGTACTAAAGCTTTGAAACATTCTTGTCATTCTTACCCCTTGGGTAAATTAATAAAATTGCCTTTTATGATTCTATGTCTCATACTACTATGCCCTTTGATATTATTCACAGTGATTTATGGACATCTCCGGTTGTTAGCTCTCTTGGTCATAAATATTATGTTCTATTTCTTGACAATTATACGAATTTTTTATGGACTTTTCCCATTTCTCTAAATTCTCAGGTCTATAATCTATTTATTCATATTAGACATATATTCGTACTCAATTTGGGCGAGAAGTAAAAGCTTTCCAATGTGACAATGGTCGTGAATTTGACAATGAACCTTTTAAAGATTTTTGTCACAAAAATGGGATGGTATTTCGCTTCTCATGTCCATACACTTCTCCCCAAAATGGTAAATCGGAACGAGAAATAAAAACGATCAATAACATTGTTCGTACGCTCCTTTGTCATGCTTCTATGCCGCCATATTTCTGGCATCATGCCTTAGAAATGACTAAATATCTTCACAATGTCTTACCTACAAAAATTCTTGGCTATAAATCTCCTACTCAAATCCTTTATGAAAAGCATCCCAATTATTCTCACCTAAGGGTGTTCGATTGCTTGTGTTACCCTCTTTTTCCTTCATCGAAAATACACAAGCTTCAATCTCAGTCTACTCCATGTGTTTTTCTTGGATATCCTTCCTGTTTCGGGGTTTTCTGATGTCCTGCGGGAGAGTTACAATTCCGAGACTGGAACCGGACGCCTGTACCTGCAAAATAACGGAGACTCCTGGGAACTCCGCCTCCAACGGTCAAGTTAGTACTTGATTAAGGAGTAATTAATGCGGAAATTAAAGTGATTAGGTCTCTCTAGGTGAGAGTGATTAACGTAGGTAATCTGCTTTGTTAGCGAGATCAGCCGGTTATTACTGTGTGTAATTAATGTGTTTTTTTCGTAATGTTTCTGTGTTCCCCCTTAATGAGGATTAAGGGAGGTATTTATAACCTTGGAAAACGTGCCCATCCTAGGTTTAGGTTAACCTAGGGCCGATTGGGCTTCCCTCGGAAGTTGGGCCTGGGTGGCCGGTTTCTCCATTAGGCATGGAGTATGCCACATGTCGTGACATAACAGGTCCAAGGTGGACGAATAAGCACGTGCCACGTGGCAAGCCCTGACAGTTCCAACTAGGGGACACTTGGCAGGTCCTGATTG